GTTTACTTTGCAAACAATTAGTTTATTAGAGGTATCTTTTCTATTGTGTATTTTAATATTGACTATTAATGATAGGTGTGTCATTAGGGGTTTATCCCAACATCATAATATTACAATTAGTTCGTATTTCTTATCTTTATTTTGTAGTCGTAAAATCTATTATTTTCGTTGGTGTGCAATAGTCGATACAATTGATCACCTTCAAATCATTAACATCTGATACGAAGAATTGTTGCACGTTGGACAGTCGTACGTGCACCCATCTTTTCCTTTATCTTCTTATCGAACCGCACCCCTTATACCCCACTTTCTTATATTGGACCAACCACCCTGTTTTTTCTATTACTAATCCAATTAATGTTTCTAAACTTTGCTAACTCCACTTACTCTCCCACTTCACACAATTTTTGTTAATATAAAAAAAAGGATAAAAGCACAATCATGAGACAATCATAGACAATGAGATACAATCAAAATCATCAGACCTAAGTCAAACATTATTACAAGCTTTTTCGTAACATAACATCAGTTAAGTAGTATTAATATTTTTTAGCGTTAGGTTTTTATTTAAGTGTCAAGTTTGAATAAACATAACATTAAAAAACTAACGTGAGTTTTAATTATAAAACAACAAAGTTCGTTAAACCAGGCGTCAACAGGAAGAGAAAATAATATCATTCTGCAGGAATGGTATCACCATTTTTACCGTTTCTAAAATATCGTGGTAAACGGTGTTATTTAATGAATGAAATTAGACTGGCCGAGCACTGACCGAAACATTTATTTAATTACCGTATGAATCATAACTAGAATTGTACAGAGGAGGATGGAAAAAAGGGGCGGAAGAACTATTAGGGGAAGATCAATTTGGTTTAGAAGAAATAGAGGAACGCGGGAGGTCATTCTAGCTTTACGGGTTAACAATAGAGAAAACAATAGAAAAGGAAAGAGTGCGTACATAGGATTTGTAGATTTAGGGAAAGCTTTAGACAATGTTAAATGGGACTAGATGTTAAATATATTTAAAAATGTAGGGATGAGTTACAAAGATAGAAGAGTGATACTTAGTTTGTATAAAGAGCAACAGGCAGTTATAGAGCTAGGAATGCAACGTAGAGAAGTAAATATTAGGAAGGGAGTCAGACAGGGATGCACACTGTCACCGCTACTTTTTAATCTATACATCGAAGACGCGATNTAAGACTGGTTGGACACGTACCTCCACTCTTTCCTATCCTGAGCTAAACTTCGCATTTCCCTAAAACTAGAACAGCCCACATCCTTAACTATTTGCGAAGAGTAATCTAATCTAGGCCTACCTCTACCCCTCCTAACTCCTGTTTCTGCCTCTAATGTGTCTCTGACTAGAACTTCATGCCTGAGAAGGTGTCCTACCAACCTAACTCGCCTATTTTTTATTGACTTCCATAGAGTCCTCTGGTCTCCTATTCTTTCCAATACCTCTTCATTTCTAACCTTTTCTACCTACGATATCCTCATCATCCGCCTATAACACCACATTTCGAACGCTTCTAACCTTTTCTTTTCCGCCGCTCCTACTGTCCATGTTTCGCACCCGTACAATGCCGTGCTCCAAACATACCCGTTATAAGTACAAAATATTTATTTATAAACTTATTGAGGGTATACAAATTACGTATTGGTCCAAGTTTTTCTGTGTTTCCTTGAATCACTTCGGCAAATGCTGGGGCAGTAATATTCCACAGATAATCTTTTATTCTCTTCTGCCTTCATTTCCGTCTCAACTTTCGCACCCGAACGACCATCCAACCATTCCCACGATTCCTGAATGCAGGCTGAAGAGGGCCTTCCGCCCTACCTTCCGGCATACCAGCATTACTGGCTGGTGGAAATGAAATACCCAAAAGTCTTGTTTGTTTTATAATAACTAGACAACAATTAGCAACAGTATAATAAAATCATCAAGTTCAGCATTTAATCATAAATTTCACCGTAAGGGTCTTCCATATGTGTATATACAGCAGTAACTATATATAATGTAAATAAATATTACTAAGTGTATTACTAGTGTTTTTCCTCATTGAAATAGATTATTTGCACTTAAACTTCTCATAAAATTTGTGTGCTCCCTCATAGGAGAAAGAAGTGGCACGGCAGCACAAATCATATAAAAACAGTATTTTAAGTTGACAATAAAATTGTTTACAAGTATTTTAACTTTCATTTTACTCTTTATTAGTTTACCTTCGTAATTAATTATCTACTCTTCTTTTAAAGCGCAAATGTAGCAAATGTAGAAGTTCTTGTTGGTACTCAACGTAAAGGAGGCGTTGATGGTCTTCTAGTACAAGCTGAAGAACTCTTCATCCATCCTCAGTACTCAGAGCCTCCTAAATCGATGAAGGCAGGTGCCGACTATGATGTCGGTTTGATTAAATTGTTACACAATTTGACCTTCAGTGATACAATTCGGAGTATTCGACTAATTAATGAAAATCAACAAATAGCACCAGGAACCAATGCCACGCTTGTAGGATGGGGATTGCAGTCAGAAAATGTTAATGACACTTATACTGATGTACTTCAAGCAGTTTCTGTTCCAGTTATCGCACAAGACAGATGCAGAAGTATTCTTAACCTTACCGAAGAGTACCTCACTGATAGAATGCTGTGTGCTGGTTACGCCGAAGGTGGCAAGGATTCCTGTTCCGTAAGTAACATGGCTCTGCTATCAGAGCACGTCATATTATATCGAAATATGTTGCTGCTATATATAGGTTGTTAGCCAATTTGAGGCATATCGCTTCTATTCTGTTTCGGTTAATGAGCACACCTACAACGGGGATGTTGTTTTTGATAAGAACTAATACTCTGCCAGCGTTTCCAACACCAGGACGATCGCGTCTTTTTATTGTATACCCTTTGTTTTTCACTTTATGGCATTTATTTTGTTTCATTTATTATCGTTATATCTGTGCCATGACTTGGGTTTGTTGGGAGCTTTGCGTAGACCTTTCTTCTTTCCATTCCAAAGGAAGTAACTTAAAATTAAGCAATGCCTGAATAAAGCGACTACTTATGATGTGATGTGGCTCTCCAACAGCTGAACTGTGTTCTCAGCCTTCATCCGCTGATCATACATTGTGAAACACTGAAAATGGCATTTATTAAGCATGGAGAAACGTCTGTAATAAGAAAAGCCCAGAAGCTCTTCATCATCGATTTTCTCATCAGAAGCATTAACAAAGCAGGCACACTAGGAGTAGGAAAATCAATTTTGCATCATATACATACGTGAATATTTTTGAGTATTATTTGAAATAAGGATTGAGAAAGACAAGTGCTCCCACTCCTGTCAGCGTATAGTCGGTACTAATGCACGTAGTGCTCTAATTTACTGATATTATGTATTCAATAGGTTCAACGTTGCTGTTGATGTCACCTAATTAATTCTTTTTTCGCCAATAATCAGTTTTAGTTGACCAATTTTATTGTCAGTAAATTTAGCATTTTATTTTATAATATTGTAATGTTCGTAGGTTTAACAAAATTAACTTCTAAGACTGATAACGACAAAAACTATTTATTTACACCCATTATTAAACAACACTATTAAATTATTATTAAACATAGGTTATGAATTATTCAATTTATTTACACTACTGTTGATAAGTCACTATTCACTGCGCTATTTATTTCACTGCTATCACTCTCAATTTATTTCTCGATTCACTTCTGCAACGGTCAATTTATTTTTTCCTTTAAATACTCTTTTGTTTACTTTCGAGAACCTTCTGAAAAACGTCCGGATAGTTTATTTTTTCTTTGAACTGTTTAACTGCTTTCCCAGAACGCAGGTACGACACACACATTTACAAATACGGCGCACATGAAGAAAGGCACCCGCAGCTAGTCGGCGAATCGATAAGCCGTTCACGCACTCGTGTGCCCAATCGCACACAAACACACTCATGCTCGCTACAATATCTTTCAGTATTATTATATATTTACATTCCATATATGAGATATGCTAAGATAGAGGAGTATTACATTATTTTGAAACATGCACACTAAAGTGTACTAAGATTTTACGTACTATTAAAAGATATTAATTCTAGACATGGTCTGGATTTGTTCCGAACGCGAAGAACAAATTTTATTTTTAAATGTCTTTTAAATTTTAGGGTGATTCTGGAGGACCCATGGTTGTCAATAACACCCTCATCGGTATCGTATCATGGGGTCGTGGGTGTGCGCGGGCAGAAATTCCAGGAGTGTACACTAACGTTACATCTATTCGTCAGTACATTAGAGATACTGCATCACTTTAAAAGAAAAAGATACTTATTAAAGTAAACAAGATTTACTAATAATCGAGTTGTTTCCTTTTTTAATCCTCTTCTCCGGCATTGATTCTTATTTCAGAAATGTCGAATCATAATTAATAATAGAATAATAATTAATTTTATATCTTTGTCAGTATGACCTTTATTTTTCAAACAATGGACATTTATGTTCTAGTTTTGAAATATCTAATTACACGTATTTATAACAGCGGTTCTATGTAAAATAGGCACAGTATATGTATGTATTTTGACTTCATAATTCAAGAAATATAAACCAACGGAAATTTTAATGAAGAATATTAACTTTTTCGCCAGTAATGTATCGAAACTACTAGACATGAACCGCAATTTTGATCTTATTAATTCTCATATGCAGTTTAGACAAATCACTGTCCCACTGTTGCCAACCTACTACAGAAAAAATCCCACGTGCAGGTCCAAAAAATCCCATATTTTCTCTAAAAATATATACAATATTTCTGTAAACATGGACAACTTTTCGTGTCGATAGCATAATACCGATAATTTTATTGTATGTAGTTATATCGTTTCCCAAAAATGCAGACAAAACCAGGCCTTGGGGGTTTAGATGTTCGGATTTCGGAACAATACACCAATTCAAAGATTTATTTTTATTAGTTTTAACATCTGTTTCTGATCTGTTGACTGGTCACTCTTAAGAAGACCATACAATGATACGAATACAATATACAGTTCAAAATAGTTCAAGACAATTTATTGTAGGGAGTTGAGCAGGTACTTGCAGGCTGCATGAGCAGGCTTGAACGCACGTCGCTGTCGTATATCAACCGTTTCATCCTACAGCATTATACGATTATAGCTGACAAAATTTTACGTTTACAATTAGAAGAATGAGCGCCTTCATAATGTGTAATCTAAATATCAGGTCAACAAAACTAATCAGAAAAGGCAAATTACAAAAAATCCCACGAAAATAAGGAAAAATCCCTTTACCCCTCGAGAACATCAAAAATCCCTCGAATCGGGATAAATCCCTCGAAGTGGCAACACTGCACTGTCCAAACCGAAATTCTAGAAGTGAAATTTCTTTGGGCTCGATGGGAGTAAAATCTCAAGGCCATGAAACGACACGTCTTGCAACGTTTTGTCTCGCGACGCGATAGGCTATGAGAATAGAAAGGCGCGCATGCACATATCGGTATTACAGTCAGCTGTTAGTGACCGACATCTGTATACTGTGTATTCAATATACTATAGTGCTAAATTAACGTTTTGGTTATATCTGTGCAGTTATATTACAGTAAGTGTATTACAGTAAATGTTTATTTAACAACAATTAATATTTATTTAAGAGTGAGTATTATTATGTATTAATTCTAATTCCTTGTAGTTATTTCTAATCGCAAAAAGTCTTTTTCAATTTTATATCCTATGTGAAATAGTAAAGCAGTTATCACTTATCAATAATTTAAAATCCGTTTTAGAAAATACCACAAACGCCATCTCTAGTACGATGCTAGATTCGATTATGGTAACGTGCCTATCATGTTGAGGTTAGCTACGCCGGGATTCGTTTCAGCAAGTAGATATCCATATATTTAAATGGACCTTGTTGGAGCATACGTAATCCTAAAATGTAGCGTCGTACTAGAGATGGCGTTTACCGCGCCATTTGTGGTATTTTCTAAAACGCGCTATTAAGGTAGCAGGTAAAAGTTGGTCTGTGTTCTGTCGGAGCTGTCTGCGACGAGCTGATGAGATCCAAAAAGATCGAAATCGCGATCCGCGTCTGGCAGTTTCGACAGAATACAGACCACTTCGAATTAAATTATTTTAGTCGAAGTGTGCAGTTGCTGATTCTCTTAGTCGGCAAGGCTTCAAGTAAAGGAAATTAGCACTACAGGAGTATTATGTATGTGGTTTCTCCCATCTAACATTAAAATCCAAAATTACACCCAAACATTTGTGGAACTCCATTCTTCCTCTCTTGTTGTCAATATAACACTTAACGACTTGGGTTCACTATCACAGTTATTATTATTGTCTTCTTAAGATTTAATATTCTTTTTTTGTGCCAACCATTAGTTATTTTACTGCTGCTCCTTTCCATGTGTTGTCCATCGATAAAATAGCAGCATTACCGGCATACGAGATAGTATTATGCGACATTTCTGTTAGTAAGTCAATAATGTACATAATATATAATAGTTAACAGATAACATAGCGACGATAATACGTGTACAATTCCAAGAAGCTTCTTATGTCGTGGACATTTGCACGCACTGGCCATTCCTTCACGGCCTTTATCTTCTCTGGATCCACGGCTACGCCCTTCGCTGATACAACATGTCCCAAATAAGAAACTTCTTCGCGATAAAGGTGGCACTTTTTCGGACTGAGTTTCAAATTGACCTCAACTAACCGCTGGAATACCGCTTGCAAATTCTGCAGGTGTTCATTAAAGGTGCTTCCAATCACAATGATGTCATCCAAGTATACCAAGCAGGTCTTTCCAATTTGATCACTCAAGATTTTCTCCATCAACCTTTCGAACGTCGCCGGGGCTTTGCATAACCTGAAAGGCATAACTGTAATCTGCCATAGGCCCGTGCCGATCGAGAATGCACGTGGACTTTCCTTTAAACCATATTGATAGTTTTTATTGAAAAAAAGTTGATTGGAATTGTCAAAACAATAATATTTTGCTTTATTTCACAAAAACATAATGTTAACAAGTATAATTCATGTAGTATAAATTTGCGACTCGCTGACGCAACGGATGCTGGGACGCTGCTCTCGCTCGCTAACTTTTCCGTACCCCTTTTCCCTCGCCGTTCTCTCTCCATTCTACTCCACAGGCGGGTTCTTAGGCGTTCACAAAGGGGTTCCGCTAACACGGCCGGACTGACGTTTGTTTCGTCCTCGAAACATTGACCATGTTGTTCACCTAGTTAAAAAAAAAGGAAATTCGCAGTAATTTGGAAATCAAACAACAGCACAAACCGTAATAATCAAGCACCAGGCAAGGCTCTACAACAGCACATGCCGAAATGATCAAAACACCAGGCAAGGCTCTACAACAGCACATGCCGAAATAATCAAAACACCAGGCAAGGCTCTACAACAGCACATGCCGAAACAATCAAAACACCAGGCAAGGCTCTACAACAGCACATGCCGAAATAATCAAAACACCAGGCAAGGCTCTACAACAGCACATGCCGAAACAATCAAAACATTTATTTTGTTTTTGGCAAAACCATAACTCAGCAAACACAAACATAAGCACACCTTCGTCGTCGGTAGCTTCGTTCTCTAACGTTTCTAATAGATTGTTCATGTCCATTGACAAGCTCCAGTCCAAAGGTCTCAACTGTTCTTTAGCAGCTTTGATAATTTTATTTTTTTCCAACTCGTTTTAACTCGTAACGGCCTTCAGGTGTAATGCCCAATACTTCACTCAAATTGAGTTTTACTTGCGTGCATTTTACTAGCCCTGTAGACTAGCACGAAGTCTCCACGAGAGTATTGAATACCTTCGCGTCTCTTTTGATTGACTTTTGAATTGAATCGATCGTTTTATCGACCCCCATATGACATTGCTCGTCATGAAATAGCCTCAATAACCCGAGTTTACTATGACGTGGGACAAAGAAACGAATCAATTTTGTATTGTCGGGGAAAATCGTTTGATGGCATAACAACCCATTTCGCTCGACATACTGTTTAGAATCTAATTATCCTTCGCGTAAAGAGGTGAGCATTTGTTGCACCTCTGCATTGGTTTTTTGTTCTATATGTAGCCAGGACTCATGTTTCGTGACCCGAGTACAGAGATAGGGTTGCGACTGAGGTAATCGACATTGCCAAGAGATGGCCCCTTTCGGTAAATAATTTCGTAACCGAAATCCTGCAAATAAATCCACCATCTGGCAATACGTGGATTAATTTCCTTTTTTTGCGCGGTGGCCTTTACGGAATTGCAGTCAGTTACTATTTTGAATTTGATACCCAGTAAATAGACAGGAAAATGCTTGAGGGAATTAATTGTGGCAAGCATTTCCAGCTCGTAAGAATTGTACTTGGCTTCCTACTGATGTAGTGCGTTTATTGTAGTACCCTACGATTTTATTTTGTCCGTCATGTTTTTGCATGAGTACTCCGCCATAGCCAAGCGAGCTGGCGTCGTTATGTACTTCCGTCGGTAGGTCGGGGTTGAAGACAACAAGTAACGGATCAAACGTGAGACAAGAAATAACGTATTGTTTGACCTTCTCGTGCTCGTTAGTCCAAACGAAAGGTATATTATTTTTGGTAAGTGTTATTATGCAAGCTGTTTTTGTAGCAAATTGAGGAATATACTTTCGGAAGTAACTAGCAAGCCCCATGAATTGACGTACTTGCCTAACATTCTGAGGGGATTCGGTTTTGCATAGTGCATCTATTTTCCGTGTACTGGGGCGTATTCCGTCAGCCGAAATTTGCCGACCCAGATATTCAATCTGAGTCTGGAGAAAGAAGCATTTTGCAATGTTAAGAAAGAATCCGGCGTCATACAGCGCAGTTAACACTAATTCAAGCTTTTGCAATCCTTCTTCTACAGTCTCAGAAGGTATAAGGACATCGTCTAAATAGACTAGGGTTACTGTATCTTTTAAAGAACCAAGGGCTTTGTTAATGGATTGCTGGTACCCAACCGGAGCGTTTGCTAAACCGAACGGCATGCGTACATATTCGAAGTGGCCATCCGGTGTGGCAAACCCTGCCTTGGGTATATGTTCGGGACTAATACAAATTTGCTGGAGCCCGCTAGTCATATCTAGAGAAGTGAAATACTTCCCTTTGCCTAATTAGTCTAACTGGTCGTCGATTCGTGGTAACGGAAATCTGTTTTTTACCGTATAAGCATTCAATTCGCGGAAATCTACCACCATCCGATAACTGCCATTTTTCTTTTTGACCAGCAAAACCGGGCTGGCGTAGGGGGAATTACTTTCACGAATAATTCCGCCTTCCAAGAGTCCTTGAATAATTTTTTGTATTTCTTTCTGTTCGCTCATAGCAAGTCTGTATGTTCTGCGATTTACAATGAAGTTATCAACAAGATTGATGTCAAGGGTAACATTAGTTACAGCCCGCAAATTATTTCCCGAAGCAATGAGATGTGGGAATTTATTAATTAGTTCGACTAACCGAGAGCGATACTCAATAGGTACGTTTAATTGTTGCTGTGTTTCATAGTCTGAATTTATTCGTAACACTCCCGGTAGCTGTCTTCGTACGATATGCGTCCCGGTGTAATCTGTTA